CATCAAATATGAAGTGTCATGCAGGGAATTCTGGGAGTGTCAATTTACGGTTTGGCACTGTAAATTATACAATTTCATTTTCATTTCCAAAAACCGTATTTTTAACTAGTATTTTACTGTAAAATTACATTAAATGTAATTACATTTATTCACCGAATATAGTATGGAAACTTACTGTTAACAGGTTTTTACTGTAGCATTTTTACAGTATTTTACTGTTAAATCACAATCATTTTTTACAGTGTGGATCATCCAACAAAACAGTATTGAGAATCAAGCGTATGTAAACTTTTGAACGGGGTAATTTTTATAAATTCAACTATTATTTTCTCTGGTGGACAATATGTAAACGTCACTTATGTGCAATATTCTATTCAGGTCAGTACTAAATAAAAAAATAACATGCATTTTGTTTGATCCCTCTTATTTTGGTAAAATAATGAACATTTAGCAGATTCTGGAAGTATGTACTGTAAACGTTTGACCTCAACTTTATGACCATTGTGTTAAAAATGTGTAAATGTTTCCCTGTTTTGAATCTTCTATTAAATTACATATAAACATGCCCAGTAAATTCAAGAACTACTAAGAATGCTACATGAAAGATTCATTTGGAAAACCTAAAATGACATAGGCATGAACTCAATCATAATAACATTATCACTCTGTCAATTTTTATAAATTACCGAGCACATTAATGTTGCTAAATATTTTTGCACGTTATGAAAGTGCTTAACCCTTTGCATATACAGTGGCTTCAAAAGGTAGACACTTCAGCCACACTTAAGGCATTGCATCATATGTATACAATCAAGTGCCATTTGCAAAAAAATTGTGAAATGTTTATAATAAATGCCAAATGGTTTGGGCATTCATACATTAATTTTGTATTTAGGGGGGTTTCTGTATCTCATACCGTGATTCTTAGTCTAATCAATCGTAAGTATGTGACTAAATGAAAAGTTTTAATGATAATTCTTTTTCTCAGGTATCCTATTTCACATCCATGTCAAGACAACAGGAGTTTGAGAAGAGTACCCTATCTGTCACTGAACTTTTTGCAATTACTTATTTTCTTGCCATCTCATTTTCAATAATATCTTGCCTGAGGTTTGTGAAATACCATGAACTAAAAAAAAATCTTTCAGATTGCAAATCTGATAATAATTGCAAATATGTATGCATTATTTCATTTCTCTCAACAGGTTTGATAATGTGAGGAATAAAGCATGGGTGGCTTCTCTTGGAGTTTTCTCCACTGCACAAGCTGTGCTGTCCAGCTTTGGGTTGCTGTTACTCATAAAGGTGCCATTTGTTATTACTGTGGCATCTTCTCCATTCCTTATTCTTGGTAAGATACTGTATCTTAGATAATTTTTATTATCTTTACTGTTTTGAACCTAATCAACCCTACAATTGGTACAGGATGGTGGTAGTAACAGCAAGGTTGCAAATCTGATTTCCAGGTTACAGGTGCAGCAGAAAGACATTGGTCCCCAAACTAGTGTTACCTGAATAACTATTTAGTAATACACATTTCCATTCTTAAGTCTTGCTGCAATTCATCTATATTTTATAATATAGCCCAAAAAGAATAAATGCACTGAAACAATTTGTAACATTTTGAAGCAAAGCTCACTATTAGAAGACTTTTTGGGCAGAAAAATGCTTCATTTAAGAATTTACACGGTTTTATACATGTAAAGCTGACCAATATGCATGATATATATTTTGAGACATGGTCAGATTTTCAATGCTATATAGGACATACAGCTTTATTTATGATGGGTTCTTTCTAAATATGGCCATGTGATTAAAAAAAAAGGTGCTAGGGGGTGGCACATCTTACCCCACACACTGTAAGTCGCATTGGATAAAAGGGTCAAAAGGCATAAATGCAAATGCATTGCAAATTCTACAGAACTGACACGTTTTAATTTCAAGATGTAAAACTGTTTTTTTTTTAGGAATCGGTATCGATGACATGTTTATCATGATCTCCAGCTGGCAACGGACCAACATTCAAGACACAGTGCCTAAACGCATGGCTGATACCTACAGGGAGGCAGCCGTTTCCATTACTATCACCACCCTGACTGACGTGCTAGCCTTCTACCTCAGCTACGGCAACCCTTTCGGCTCTGTTCAGTCGTTCTGTCTGTACGCAGGCACGGCTGTCTTGTTCTGCTACTTCTATAACATCACTTTCTTTGGAGCTTGTCTGGCTCTGAATGGCAGAAGGGAGGGGGCGAACAGACACTGGTTAACTTGCATGAAGGTCCCAGAAGAGGTCCCACCAGGACGGTCTAAAATGTATACTCTGTGCTGTGTTGGAGGATCTTACGACCATAACACAGGAACCGAGGAAGAGCACCCAATGACACTGTTTTTCAGGAAGTATTATGGACCATTTTTGACAACTGTTTGGAGTAAAGCATTAGTAATTTTTATTTACGTAACATACATTGCTGTTAGTGTTTATGGCTGCTTGCAACTTAAGGAAGGCATTGATCTCAAGAACCTAGCACTTGATAAATCGTATATCGTCCAATACTACAAAGCTGAAAAGACATACTTTGATTATTATGGTCCAAATGTAATGTTAGCCATCAATGACACATTTCCATATTGGGAGGAGAGCAAACGCAATCAACTCGAGTCATGTATTGTACGGTTTCAGGAGTTGAAGTTTGTCAACAACTTGTCAACATCTTGGCTTCATTCCTTTGAAAAGTATGCAGAGGAACACAGTAATAACATCAGCTCAGAAGGTCAATTTAAAACACATCTTTATCAGTTCCTGGACCACCAACCAATGCTCAGACAGGATGTCAACATATCCAATAATGACATAACTGCTTCACGTCTGTTTCTTCAGACAGTTGTTCAGAATTCAACAGAAAAGAGCGTGTTGAACTCACTACGGAAGACAGCAGAGAGCTGCCCATGTCCACTGTTGGTCTACCATCCAGCGTTTATATATCATGATCAATATACAGTAATAGGGCATATCACTCTTCAGACCGTCATTGTGGCAACCCTAGTAATGCTGGTCATCTCCCTTGTGCTGATTCCAAATCCTCTTTGTGCCTTGTGGGTGGCCTTTGCCATCGCTTCAGTCATTTTGGGAGTCACCGGCTTCATGGCACTGCTAGACATTAGTCTCGATTCAATCTCAATGATTAACCTGGTCATTAGCATCGGCTTTTCTGTGGACTTTTCTGCTCATATCTCCTACACATTTGTGTCCAGTTCTAAGCCCGATGTGAATGAAAGAGTTGTGGAGGCCATGGCACACCTGGGTTACCCCATACTTCAAGGGGCTCTGTCTACAATTGTGGGTGTGGTTGTGCTATCAGCTTCCAGCAGCTACATATTCAGAACGTTCTCCACCATTGTGGTCCTAGTCATTACTTTTGGGCTGCTTCATGGCATTGCTTTTATTCCAGTATTTCTAACTTTCTTTGGATTTTGCCACAAATTATGGCAGCACTGAATTCAAAAACCCAACTTCTGCTTTTTCTTCCAATGTCCGCCTTGTAAAATTAACATTTTATTGAAAAAGAGAAAAAAAAGACAATTTCTTGTAGTTGCTTTTAAAGCACTTACAAGCATGTTTAAACTATAGGGAAGGCAGATTTTCAAGCATGCGTTTTAAATGTTTTCCACATAAATATTATCCCAGCATTGTGCAAAAAAAGTAATGGAGTTGTAATTCATAGCGAGTAACTGTAATACGGTTACAGTAACATGTAACCTGTAGACCAGGGTTCCTCAAATCTTGCCCTGGAGGGCCAATGCGCTGCAGAGTTTAGCTCCAACCCTGATCAAACTCACCTACCTGTGATTTTATAATGATCTTGAAGACATTGATGAGCATGCTCAGGTGTGTTTGATTAGGGTTAGAGCTAAACTCTGCAGGAAAGTGGATCCTGAGGGCCAGATTTGAGGATTCCTGCTGTAGACTGTCATATTGAAATGTTAACATTTTTAATAAAACCCAAGTGATCTGTTCCTCCGCTGAAAGTCTGTTTAGCATATTTTGATGTGATTATATATGTGCTTTTGTCAGTGTTAATATGTGAATAAAAGCCTAAACTAATTCTGTTTAAACCTCTCAATTCGTGTTTTTTTTTTTTTTTTTACAATCTATTTATGAACCTTTTAAACTGTCAAAACGTCGGGTGAATGAACTTTAAATGGAGGGACAGAAATCTTGGATTTCCTTAAAAACATCTCGATTTGTTTCAAAAATGAACGGAAAGTCTTGAAAATGTCATAAGTGAGTAATTGATACCTAGCTCCATCAAAAAATGAAAACGGTGTCATTTGAACTGTGTGGCTCCTAGAAGAAATCGAATTACTTTTCAAAGCAAAGAGAATTCACTGGGTGAAAATCCTCATACTTTTCATTTGGGCCAGTAAGCAACCATTTAGAACGCCCTACCAACCACATATCAACATGCTAAGAACCACTCCTTAGCAATATCCTACATCATGGCACCAACTTTTTTTAGTTTAGACTTGTTTGGTTGTGTAATATGTTCTTGCAATGCAGAAGTTGTCACAGTACATGAAAACAACAATTATGCAGAGTTATGTTTGCTTTATTCAGTTCAACTCCCATTTGTGTAACAGCATCAAAAGAAAAATCATTTTAAATGACAAACCAGGCGGAACTCAGACTAAAATCAATCTAATACACTTACATACAATACCCTCATTTTGAATTTTATTGATTATAAATATATACTGTATATACACAACTAAAACGAGCTTGGGTAAAAGGCAAACATACATGGAGGCAAGGTAAACTCATAAATGTAGAGCTACTGTACATGAATAAATAATGTGTAGAATAAAGTCAGTTTAGCCACTGGAACTATAGAGAAATGAAGATCAAATTTGAATGAATATTACATTTAGTCTCTCTTTTGTTTAATGATTAATGAAAGTGCAGAAATAGGGCTCAAACTACAGGAGTTCACTGATCACTGGGCCACTGATTTCTTGTCATAAAGTTTATCTAACAACATACTGGGGTTCTGATGTATTGACTTGCTGTGACTAAATCTTTTTGAAGCAGCATTGTTCACAAGCCGATATTATGATATGCATCACACAAACAAACATAAATGTCCCAGTACCAAAGTGCTTCGATATATTCCCTCAGTGAAAAATATATTCCCATACATTTCTCAAAGGTCACCATGAAACATATGCTCAGCCTGGCTCAGACAACGGTGTCAGAAACAGTGAACAGCAATTTGTTCCTAACTTTATAGTAAACTGGACTGGTGCTTACAGCTTAATGATTTATTCAAAATTGTCTTCTGCTCCACTTCAAATAAGGCAGCACCCTAAAGTCAATGGTACAGAAAAACACTTAAATAGATACTAAATGAGTTAACAAACAATTTATTTGGAAGAAAATCCCAAGCATGTAAAACTGAAACTAATTTTAGAGATCTGGCTCAGGAAAAAATACATCTTTACCAATGGGGAGTGTCGGCCTACCAAGCTCTTGGTTGCATATGTACATTCATGTCTTTTAGAGTTTCATTGTCCTTTCCCTGCTGCCTGAAGTCCCTGGTGAGCCCTCATCTGCTTTCTAATGTCTTTCCCTCTAAGACCAGCTGGATCTCTTTGGCATCCAATGTCTCATACTGCAGTAAAGCCTCAGCAAGATTTTTGTGCTCCTTAGCACGAGACTTCAGGAGGGCTTTAGCACGCTCGTAGGAATCCTAGGAGCATTCAAAGAAATATGTGAGCCAAAAACTGGACAAATTGGTAGCTGGTATTAAGAAATGTTAAGAAAAGCGCAGGCTGTTGAGTGCTTTAAAATGCAATGTTGTAGTACTGACTTGAGGATAGAATTAGATCAGAACAAAGTTTACCCTCAGAAGTATCCTGACTTCATGTTCAATGGCTGCCTGAGTTTCTGGGCTCTGCTTGGTGAGGTCAGCATATGTCATGACACCCAACTATAAAAAAAAATAAATAAATAAATAAAATTACAAACATTAAATAAAAAGTCAAGAGCTATGGACAAAAAAAAAACCTTCTCAAAAGCTCTTATTCAAAACCCAGCAAGCTACCTTGCTTTCTACTGAATCCTAACATGTCATGGAAACTCAAGTGGCATGTGAAATAGTTTAGTACAGTGACAAAATTAGTAAATAACATGCAAGTTGTTTCATAACATTTCCCATTTAATATTTTTCCTTACGCAACATAAACAGGTCTTTATTCATGACAATAAGGGTTCATGATATTTAATATTCAATAAGTTTGAATACAACCAACTCTTTAAAAAGAAAAGTAAATAAAGTCTGACAATAATATCCATATATACACATGCATATTCAGGGCGCAAAGACAATTTGCTAAATATGACGAACCTTTTCACTCATGCCAAATCTGGTCACCATCATTTTGGCTATTTTTGTAGCGCTGTCAAAATCACTTGATGCTCCTATGTGAATACAACAAAACATTACACAGATGAAAAATGGAAATAAGCGATTAGCATAATTTTGTTACATTTACTATTCATGCAGTATCCTCTCACGTATTTGAAAAATGTGATGTACAATAAACATTCATACTTGCAGCCAAGTCATTCTTATAATACAATAATCATAGTCTTTCATCTTACACAATACACAAACGATTTGAATGACACTGCAACGCCAGAGCAAACAGTACCGCAACATACCAGTGGTGATATTCTCACTGCCAAAGATGAGCTCTTCAGCCACTCGGCCGCCCATGCTGACGTCCATCTGGGCCAGAAGTTGAGCACGAGTTTCACTCCAGCGGTCATTCTCTGGGAGCATGGATACCTAACAGAGAAGACAACAAAAACACTGGCACTATTAAGGCTGACTGTCTCTCACTTGAAAAATAAACAAGCAGCTCATCTCTCTAAAATATTCTAAATCTGGCTTTACAATTTCAACCCAAACTGAAGAGATAAGCCCTTTCAAAGTAGAGATTCTAATAATCAATTAAAATGTACTCACATGACCCAAAGTTGGGCCTCTCGGCATAATAGTGGCTTTATTTATGGGCATGGCACCTTTGGTGTAGTATGCAATAATAGCATGGCCTGACTCGTGGTACGCTGTGATCTCTTTATTCTTCTTGTCAATCTCTGCACTCCTGCGTTCTGGCCCTGCAGAGGGGGAAAGTGAATGGAAAACAAGTGATGCACCAACAATTCAGCAATTGAAAATATTCAAATCGCCCTTTGAATGTAATGTGTACGTTCCCTTGGAACTGGAATCATGGTGGAATTTCATGTGAAGTCCACTTCACAGGGCACTTACTGTCGAATAAGCCAACGCGTGAATGCTGCTGTCTGAACAAGAAACCTCCTTACTGAAGTGAAAGTGTTGACTGGTCTGGTGTCACTATCTCGCGAACGCGCCGGCGGATCTTCACCAAGTTTGGGGGATCAGCTTGAGGAGTCCTCTCGAACACCACCCTCCGCGCGTCGGTAGCCCCCCGGGATCGCTTGATCGTTCGGCGCCGGACCGCAAATTTAACCACCCGTAACTCCCAAACCCCGGGGGCTATCACGATCATTCGAAAGCGGGCCTCTAGATGTACATTCGATTCGCGTTCGAGAGGGTTCCTCGAGTTGAAGGGATCCCCCAAATTTGGTGCGGATTCGCAGCACCGCTACGGAGATATGGCCGTTCAAAGTTTCAATGGTTTTCCATTGACTTAAGCTTTAAAGCGTTTCATCCAAGTCGCCAGTAGCAAACAATGGAGCGCGCTCTGCTGGACAAACTAAGTAATTACACCATTTCAAGCATTTTATCTGCAATATGTGTTCTGTAAAAAAAATTGTTCATATCGGCGGCATATTCGCCGATACCGATATATCGGCGACAGGCTCAATTGGCAAAACGATGTCTCTAATTTATACATCATCTGAAAGCTGAATAAATAAGCTTTCCATTGATGTATGGTTTGTTAAGATAGGATAATATTTGCCTGAGATACAACTATTTGAAAATCTGGAATCTGAGGGTGCAAAAAAATCTAAATATTGAGAAAATCGCCTTTAAAGTTGTCCAAATTAAGTTCTTAGCAACGCATATTACCAATCAACAATTAAGTTTTCATATATTTACAGTAGGAAATGTACAAAATATCTTCATGGAACATGATCTTTACTTAATACCCTAATGATTTTTGGCATAAAAGAAAAATCTATAATTTTGACCCATACAATGTATTTTTGGCTATTGCTACAAATATAACCCAGCGACTTAAGACTGGTTTTGTGGTCCAGGGTCACATTTCATACACACGATGTGAATAAGCTGCAACAAGTAAACATGTCAGAATGGACAACCGAACAGCTTTACTATGACTGGTTTCATTTATCGAGTACACGACACCCTGAACCACATACAGAGCTCAGTTACCCAAATGTAAAACTTTATTTTTAGTTCGGTGTTTCTGCCAAAAAGTTATTTTTGGTGCATCACTACGAAAATGTAGAGGTTTTATTGTCTAATATGAGCAGCGAAGTTTATTTCAGCATGCAGAATAAGTTACAGGTACCTACCCATCAGTATTTTGTCCTTAGCAAACTCCAACTCCTTCATGGTCACCATGTCTTTACCATCCACAGCTGCCTTTAGTGCGGACTGATTAACAAGATTCTCCAGATCGGCTCCAGAGAACCCCACCGTTCCTCTAGCAATGATCTCTGCCTCCACAGCTAATGACCAGAAAATACAATAATCCTTAAGAACAATGACTTTACTTGCTGTACTATTACTTTTTTACCTTTCAACATTAATAGTTCAGAATCTAATAGGTACATTTGAAAATTAATCTTTAACAGACCACTTACCAGTGTCGACTTTAATTTTTTTAAGGTACCACTTGAGGATTTCAGTGCGGCCCTTCACATCTGGTATGGGGACAGTGACCTGCATATCAAAACGGCCTGGCCGGATCAGAGCACTGGGGAACAAGATTCAGATTTTCTTACCAATCAGCAACATTATATATAAAAAAAAAAAAAAAAACTTTAACAACCTCAGTTGCACTCATCATATTATCATTTGATGTACTGAAGCAGGCTTTTGTCTTTAGATGTTTGAAATGCAATCTACGTACTTATCCAAAGCTTCAGGGAAGTTTGTTGCTCCAATTATGATGACACCTTCATTTGGCTTGAACCTGCATATGTTAAACACCAAAATTTAGCGAAGGAAACTTACAAACCTTTCACTCAAACAACGAGTGCAGTCAAAAGTTGCAATGGAGTCACTTTGAGTAGCATAGCTCACCCATCCATCTCTGCTAGAAGCTGATTGATTGTCTGTCTAGAATAGGGGTGCATAGGGGACTCAATCCTCTTTCCTCCAACACTATCCAGCTCATCAATGAAGATAACACAAGGAGCGTTAGCTTTAGCTTCCCCTACAGGACAAATGCAGGAGAACTGCTTTAATACATACATACATACAATGACTCATTCACACTTTTGGTTACTTTCACATACACAGAATTAGGCATAGTATGGCATCATCTATAAACGATCGTGCTTGAATTATGATTTGGAGTGGCACTATGCAAGCTAGGTACTTACTAAAAAGGTTTCTGATTCGACTGGCACCAACACCAACAAACATCTCATCGAACTCAGAGCCAGATGCATAGTAGAATGGCACATCTGCCTCACCTGCCACAGCGCGGGCCAACAGGGTCTTTCCTGTACCTGGAGGCCCAACCAACAAGATTCCTGCAAATAAATGAATATAGATCATAAATATAAAAACACAAATAAATACTATTTAGGTAAAATAAAGGGAAAAAAAACAAAGAAGAAAGAAATCTAAGGCTAAGTTTACACTAGTGCGTTTTCGTTTTAAAACGCATAACTTTCACTACGATTACACCTGTCGTTTACAATACCCCGGCGTTTTCGAACCTCGAAAACGGACACTTTCGAAAACACTGCAGACCCCGTTTTAGATTGAAAACTACGGGGTTGCGTTTCAGTGTAAACGGACCAAAACAGAGACTTTTGAAAACGATGGCATGTCTGGCCACAGTTGCTCTGCGTATTCTTGACGACCTTGTAAGCAATGACATCATGCACATTGCTGTACCTGCATGAATGGTCATGTGACCTGCGTTTTCGGTTGTGTAGTGTGGACGGAGAACGTTTCTGAAATGCAGTGAAAACACAAGTGTAGATGAGAATCGCTTTCATTTTCTAACGCCGTTTTAAAACGAAAACCGACACTAGTGTACCTGTACCTGGAGGCCCAACCAACAAGATTCCTGCAAATAAATGAATATAGATCATAAATATAAAAACACAAATAAATACTATTTAGGTAAAATAAAGGGAAAAAAACAAAGAAGAAAGAAATCTAATCAAATCTAATCTAATCTTTTCGTTTTAAAACGCATAACTTTCGCTACGATTACACCTGTCGTTTACAATACCCCGGCGTTTTAGAACCTCGAAAACGGACACTTTCGAAAACACTGCAGACCCCGTTTTAGATTGAAAACTACGGGGTTGCGTTTCAGTGTAAACGGACCAAAACAGAGACTTTTGAAAACGATGGCATGTCTGGCCACAGTTGCTCTGCGTATTCTTGACGACCTTGTAAGCAATGACATCATGCACATTGCTGTACCTGCATGAATGGTCATGTGACCTGCGTTTTCGGTTGTGTAGTGTGGACGGAGAACGTTTCTGAAATGCAGTGAAAACACAAGTGTAGATGAGAATCGCTTTCATTTTCTAACGCCGTTTTAAAACGAAAACCGACACTAGTGTACACAGGGCTTAAAGCTGCCAAATAGATTCTATGTGGAATTTTTGTCAAAATTACAAATGCGATTTTACTTTATTCTTCTACTCAAAGGGAAATACAATTCTGTCCTTATTTACTCATCCACAGCTGTGCTAAAGTCTGTACATGATACATTTTTCATTGGAAAAATGATTCCAGTTTGTAGTGACTCGAGGTAGTCGATAGTGGATTTGCAAGTCACGCATTTGTGCAGTATTTGTCTTCTGAAGCAAGAGGTCAGATGTTCAAATCCAAAAACCATGTTAGCAATGTTCATATTAACATTGTTGATATTAACATGATAAAAGATAATAGCTCTCATGTTTATGACAAATTGAATTTTCCTCAACCCCGGAATTTTTTTTTTTACTGGATTTGCATTAAGCATAAATTGTCTGTTTTGTTTGGTTTTTATTTAAATTACGAATTAAAATGAAGTAGTCCAAAAGTAGTCCATCTTTGACTTTGTAACGTTGTAACTCGTAAGCACTTTAACTGCTAATGTTATCTGATAATAATAATAATGTTCTCCAAAGTAACAAATTATCAAAATAATTGTCTTAAATGGTTATTGTACCATGATTATATATATAATGAAACCGTATACAGTATACATAAGAGCTTTTTTTCTGCCATGTTTTTAACCCATTTCTTCATGTACAAAGCATAGCCACGTGTCACAACAAACTCAACAAAATGTAGACAAATAGAACCCTCCAGTGCTGGTGCACAGAGGAACAAAAACTGATTGCAAACTATCACTATTGATTTTTGCAGATAACTGATAATAGGTCAAAATTTTATATCAGTCATTAATATTGAGCATATCAAACTCCCAAAATACAAAAAGGCACTGTTAAATATTGTGCATTATATTGCAAGTACTCACAAAGGGTTTGTATGAAGAGCAAACCAAAATAGAAGTAATTTTTGTCAATTCAAAAATGTCACCATACCACAAAAAATGTGCTAAAAGAAAATGGCATTGTAAACAGTGTTGGAGAAAGTTACTTTTAAAAGTAATGCATTACAATATTGCGTTACTCCATAAAAAAGTAACTAATTACATTACTTTTTATGGAAAGTAATGTGTTACGTTACTTTTGTGTTACTTTTAAAATCTGGACAGGGCTTGCTTGTTTGTTTTTAAAATAAAAAAAAAGTTATATTTTTGGCAAATATAAAAGCCTTTTCACACCAAAAGTGAAATGAATAAGCCTCAGGCTGAAGGAAATGTAAAATTACACCCGTATAGTAGAATGCAGAAGAAGAAATTTCAACACTTCACCAATAAAAAAAAAAGACACACAAATGTTTGTCTAGAGTAATTTTTGCTTGTTCGTACGGTTGAACTGGATCATCGAAGGTCAGAAGCAAAGAGATTGGTTAATAGAATGGGATTAAAAACATAAAGGATATTTGTGTTGTTTAACATTTAATTATTGCAGGTTTGCGTCATATTCTGAGTTGCATTATTTTTATTCAGTCCGATTTCTCTCAACATGGCAACACGAGAGCTGGCAGTCAAGACATTGGAAACAAAGTATATTGCGTTACTTATTTGAAAAAGTAACACAGATAATCTCTTGTAAATTAAAAGGTAATGCGTTACTTTACTAGTTACTTGAAAAAAGTAACTAGTAATACTCGCGTTACTTGTAATGCATTACCCCCAACACTGATTGTAAATATAGACGACACTTAGATTTTTGTCTTTCTCACACAAAGATGTAGTATGACTTCAGAGTGCTTGGAACACAGTGTGCGAGTCATATGGACTTGCTGGTGTCTTTTTTTTTTTTTATCCTGGATGTTATAGAAGGTAGGTGTAAAAATTCTTCAAAAATGTATTCCACAGAAGAAAAAAAGTCATACAGCTTTGGTAGAATATGAGCATATGAGCAAACAGAATTTAGGTTTAACTATTCATTTAAATGGTTCTGGCTTGGAGCCTTACAGCAAAAGTGTGTTCTTGCCTTTAGGCAGCTTTCCTCCCAAAACAGTGAACTTCTGTGGGTTCCGGAGGAACTCCACCACCTCCTGCAGCTCATTCTTGGCCTCCTCCACACCCTTCACATGCTCAAAGGTGACATTCTTCATCTGGACAGGATCCACTGCTGAGTCCAGGCCTGATGTGGTTCGGAATCGCACTGTCCG